GGACCTTCTGCGGGAGGGAGAGGGTCGCCCCGGAGCTGCTGGGCCCTGCGTGCGGCCCCGCGTGGTCTCACCGCCTTCCCGTCCAGGCTCCGGGAGAGGCGGTCAGGGCCCTGCAGAGCCCCAGGCTGGAGACGCTGCTTTCTCGAACGTGCCTGGTGTCGGGACTCATCCGTGGCGCCGGACTGGTGTGGGAGCTGGGCGTGGGGAGAAGCGGGGAAGGTGTGTGTGGGAGTCCAGTCATACGGCTGAGCGTCTTTGGAAGAAACGCAAGCCTTTGATGAAAGGTCTTTCAGAGGAAAGTCTAGATTTTTAACAGATGAGAAACCCGTTTTACAGACGAGAGATGCAAGGTAGTGGTTGGTGACTCACCCCAGGTTGCCGCGATTCCTGGTGTCCTGGAAGAACTCAGGAATTCTACACCCATTGTGGGGGCTGTGATCTGGGGCCTCCAGGAACTAAGGAAACTAGGGGTCCCCCCACCCCCACTTCCCAAGGTAGCTGGGCAGGGAGATGTGGTCCAGCCCCGCCATCCTTTGGACGGAGAAGAAGCGGCCTCTGGGCCTCGCACCCAGCAGGTTCCCTCCCAGCAGGGTGGAGGCAGCGCCGGGTGTGTGGAGGCCCTGCCACCCCTCACCGCCCCCGCCCTAGAGGTGAAAAGGAGGGGTCCTCCCCCCACGCACGCTACACCCTTACTCCTCCCTTTTGTTCCCTGTTTCATGGCTGGTTAGCGTTTAGCAAGGTGTGACCACATTGCAGAGAACCGAGCGTGCCTCCAGTGTGTCGGGATTGTAGCCTGTGCACAGAGGCAGCCTGGTACCCGGAGCTCAGGCCACATTCTTCCTTGCTTGCACTGCAAGTACCTGTTTTTTTCCCCTAAGGCCACTTCCTGAAACACGGACAGGCCGTGTCAGCCAAAGGCACTTTTTTTAAATTGAAGTTTAGTCAGTTCACAATGTGTGAATCTCTGGTGTACAGCATAATGTCCCAGTCATGCATATACGTACATATATGCCTTTTCACATTCTTTTTCATTGTAGGTTATTACAAGATGTTGACTATAGTTCCCTGTCCTATACAGTGTGAACTTGTTGTTTACCTATTTTATATATAGTAGTTAGTATTTGCAAATCTGGAACTCCCAGTTTATCCCTTCCCAGCCCCCTTCTCCCCCTAGTAACCATGTTTGTTTTCTGTGTCTGTGAGCCTGTTTCTGTTTTGTAGATAAGTCCATTAGTGCCTTCTTTTTACTTTCTTCCCAGTGCATTTTGGATTTAGTGCCTTCAGCATCTGAAGGGTCATATGTTTTCTGGCTTGTTGTCAGAGGCTGATCTTTGCTTTAAGTTTTCTGTATCCCTGTCCAGGGCCCTGTCTGGTGCGAGGACATCAGCTGTTAGTTGGTACTTTGCAGAAGATCGTGTTCCTTCTCTGGTTGGAGTGGTCTGTTCTTTGGTACCATGGGGGCAAGGAAGGAAGCTGGCTGTTGAGCAGCTGGCTTCAGACGGCCCCCTGTGGATGGATTTGTATGCTACTTCCTCTGAGAATCTAAAGCTGTTTTTTTTTTCTTGAAGTAACAGCCTTTTTTTCTAAGTGCATTTTCTTTTCTGAGAAGAGCTGATGGATTTTAATTTACTTGAACAGCTTCCTAGGAGGAAGGGGAAAAACATGCCTAATCTCTGATGCAGCAGAGGAGTGCTAAGTACCTTATAACTTGCTTTAAATTTGATCCACGGTTTTTTCTTTGTTTTTTTTGTTTCCGCAAATGTGTGATGCTTACCTTAAGTGTCTCGGAGGAGGCGTTGGCGGTTGTGATTTCCCCTTTAACTTCACAGGAGAATCTTCTGTCAATCAAGCATTGGAAGTGTGCTCTGTATTTTTGGTAGGCCGTTCCTGGCTCAGTCATGTGTTGCTTTAGTTTTTTGAAGAGCCTTCTCCGGAGGGTTTAAGAGTGGGCATGCAGACGGCTCTGTCTCTGCAGTCACGTACACCTGGGAGGAAGACAGCCTCTTCTCCCAAGTTCATTGTTAAGACTGGGAGGTGAAGAACAGCGGAAATTAAACACCTCCTGGACCTGGGGGAAATTTTTGCTCATCCCTTGAATTGGCAGCTAAGCTCCCAGTTTACTGGCATCACTGCATGCCTGAGCCAGTGGCTTTACGTTTACTTTTCCTGTTTCTCGATTTTATGGCACCAAAAAATCGGGCAGTTTTAAGGCCAGGGGAACCACAGAGGCCCTCTAGTCAAAGCTGCCCACGTTTCAGCCTGAGCCTCAGAGCGGAAGTGTGGGGTGGGACGCTGTGCTGAGTGATGGTCTCGAGTTGAGCAAGAGCCCAGGGAGGGCCGGAGCCGCCTTTGCCCTGCTCCCCGCCTCCCCCAGGGGTCGCGGCCTCTGGCTCCTGTGCCGGGCCTGAGCGAGCCCCTCCTCTCACACCCGGCATTGCTGGTAGTGTGACAAGTTCCTGGTTCCTTTCTGATACTTTGTTATTGAATGTGCTCCAAAGTGTCTTTCGGTAGTTTCTCTTTAACGTGCCCTTTGCGTACTAAAGGGCGCTATAGAGATGGCGGAAGGGAAGGGAAGAGAAGTACCATGACCCTTTGACCCTAACATGGCTGGTCACCATTTTGTTTTCCTTTTACTCACTTATTTTGCCCCTCGAAGCTCAAACCTGGCCTTTCGGCCAGTTGGTAACCTCCTTCTCTGCCAACCGCCAGCGCATGTGGAGGCCCGGCTGCTTCTCTCTCTTGCTGCGTGATCTTCGGTTTTCTTCGGCATCTGAGCGCCATCCTGCTGGGTGGATGTCCTGTCCTCTGTTTAGGCTTCGCCCTGAGTTGAAGTCCACGGTGTTCCGGATTCTCTGTCTTGGAGAAACTCAGTGTCGTAGGTTGCTTCCCAGAAGTAGAGCCTGAGACTGGGTTTGGTTGCAGGGGGTTAGTGAGAGGGTGCTCTGCTGGGAAGGGGAGGGAGCCAGGATGTGGTGGCAGAGAGTCTAGCCCTGGGCTGACCCTTGTGACCCCGGGCAAGGAACTGCACTGCAGGTTGCCCTCCCTTGAGAAGCCACAGGACAAGCTTTGGAATTTTTTCGCCCACTGTCAGCCAGCCACTGGCTGCCCCCCCGGTGGGGGGGGCCTCCCAGGCCTCAGGGTGAAGCCCCCTGTTGGCCCAAGTGTTTGGGTGAGGAAGGTGATGGGTGTGAACTGTGAGCGGCGGCCCCCTAGCTGGGTGGGGGAGGGCAGGCCTACCTGGTGAAGGGCATCTGACAGGGCGTCCGCACGCCCCACTGTGCCAAGCGGAGCCGGAAGCCTCATCCTCCTGTCCTGGGCCTGAATGTCCCCCCGGGGCACCGTGGAGCTGCCTGATGCGTTGGCCAGGCTTGGTCCTGAACCAGGGTGCCTCCCTCACCGCGGCCCTGGTGCCTCTTGTCAAAGGTGTAAAGATTCTCAGGGAGGCAGGTGGGAGCCCTGTCTGCTCCCCAGGCCCCCAGGGGCACGGTGGGGCTCAGCCTCGGCGTGTGTGCTGAGTGCCAGGCAGCTCAGTTCACCCCACAGTCCCTACTTGCAGACCATGACTGGGGGAGGTCTGAAGCCATGCGCATCCCAGGGTCCCCCTGCCTGTCCCCGATCACCCTGCAGCCCTTGGCCGAGTGAGGCTGGGGAGGAAGGGTGAGGTGAAGGGTTTTCTCTGGGGCCTCGGAACTCCTCTGCACACTGAGCGGGGTCGGACCCCCTCTGGCCCCGCTGCCTTCGGCTCAGAGCCTGCGGGACCAGAGGCTGGGCACATTCTGGAATCTGGACAGGTGAGGCAGCAGGACCTGAGGGAAACTGGAGATTCAGGCTCTGAAATGCAGATTAAAAACTTGCAACGTGTAGGGATAACCTAAAGAGTGGCTTCAATTTAACCAGAGCTGCACCATTCTGCACCCCCTTCATTCAGCCTTCCTACCGCTGTGCAGTGCTGTCCCTGACACCCTGTGGGGGGCCCTGTGTATCCTACTGCACCCCTCCTCCCTCCCTCCTTCCGCCCTGGGCCTCAGGCAGTGGGCGTCTCAGCCGGGGGTCCTATTGGGCGCGATTTCTGGCCATTAGACGTTTGAGCAGAGAGGCCAAAGCCCCTGCAGTGCCAGGGCAGAGCTGGGTCCTGCCTGGTGCCCCAGGACAAGCCCTGATCAACACAGGTGTCTCACAGGTGAGGGCTGGGGACTCAGCTGGCAATGGATACCTGTGACTCTTCTGATGAGCCGGGTCCTGGGGCTTGAGCGAGTTGATGAGGCCCTGTGTTCCTAGAGCTCGGGTTGGCTGCGGGAGTTGAGTAATAAACCGAGATGAAGTAAGTGGCTGCATTTCATGTGACAGTGAGTCTGGGACAGCGGCGTGCGGGGACAGGGCTGCTGGGTGGACAGTGCGGTCAGGAGAAGCCTCGCTGGGGCTGAGCAGGCCGAGCAGGGCCCGCCAGTGCAGGGGAGCCGAGGAGGCGCGTGTGCCGGGGGAGGGTTGGCTGGAGGTGAGGTGGGAGAGGTCTGCAGGGACTGGGCCGCAGGCAGGAGACGGGAAGGGGCTGCAGGCTCCGAGCTGGCAGGTTAGCCTGGGCCTGGCTCTCCGCTCGGCACCCCGGCCCGCCGGCTGCCTGCCTCCCGGGTCCCGCGGGGCTGCTGGGGCCTCGCTCAGCCCCCCGCACTGCACACCCACAGAGGGGGGCCACGGAAGTGTGTGTTCACTGAATGGGCCTGCCTGGGGTGGGGGGTTCTTCCTGCTTCCTTTGCGGGTCCCCGCTCTGCTCCTCGAGGTGGCTTCCGCTCTGCAGGCCCTGCCTCTGCCCCCACCCACCCTTTCTTTGCACAACCGTCACTTCTCCATTTCCCACTGTTGCTTTCGGGCCTGACCCTTCACGTCTCCGGGTTCCCCGCCCCCTGCTTGTGAGGAGTGGGGCGAGGCTCCCAGAGCGCCAGACACAGCCAGTGTGTGACAGTAGGAATTTCAAAGCTCACAGCCAGCCTGCTAGAGACCCTCAAATGCCGATATGCTGTTTACTATTTTTTCTTTTAAAAAATTTTTTGGTAAAATCTACAGATCATAAAATTAACCAACTTAAGCATTTTTAAGCGTCCAGTTCAGTAGCATTAAGCACACTCACACTGTTTCGTAACCATCCCCACCATCCATCTGCAGAACCTTTTCATCTTCCCAAACTGAAACTCCATCCCCATGAGCCACTAACCCCCCTCCCCAAGCCCCTGCACCCACATTCTAGTTTCCTTGACACCCTATAGTACCTGCCTGTTTCCTTTGCCAGCAACAGTATCTCCCCCTCCCCCAATCTAGTAACATTGTTTTGATTCATTTTTTTTATAGTTTTTACACTAGTGATATAAGGTTTCCTTTTGAAGTACCTTTTCAATAAAGAAGAATCCACTTGGAAGTAAAAAGTAAGAAAGATGCAAGGGTTACTCGGATGTAACAGATGGGGAGAGACAGGGGCCCAGAAGTGGGGATGGGCTGGCGGATGAGCTGGTGTCCAGGCGGCCGCCCCTGTGGGCGGCCAGAGGCAGGGACTTTGAATGTTGCAGGTGGGGGTGGCAGAGGGAAACAAATGGCAGAACCAGCTTTGCCTGTTTCGCATGTGATTCCCCACTCAGTCCCCGAAACAAAATACCTTCTTGGCGAACATGACTACCCACTGCATGAATGGGGAGCCATGGAGAGCCACGGCCAGAGCCTCACAGCCGGCTAGCGGCAGAGCCACGTTCACAGCAAGGGGGCAGACTAGAGCCAGCCCAGTCCTGGATGCACAGGGAGACGTGCCCGCCCTTCTCATCCATGGCTGCTTTACCGGCGTCCCTTCAGGAGTGTTTTAGGAAAGCCGATGACTTGTTAAGAAGTAGCATTGAGGATGCATGTGGGGCAGGGGGTGATGGAGGAGGAGGGGAGACTTCTGCTGCTGGGGTCTGGCCCCCCTGTGGACAGCCCAGGTCTGGGGAGGCCTTGGCTCCGTTTTGAACGGTCTGGGTGCCTTTAGCACAAGGGGGAGGGCGGGGCCGTGTCTGGACCAGGGGTCTAGAGCCAGCCCGGCTGACCTGGTTTTCCAGAGACGTAACCTTGGGCGTGTTACCTAACGTCCACGCAGGGCTTCCCTCCTGTATCCAGTGCAAGTTTTGATAGGACTGTTGGGGGCAGATGAAATATTTGTGATGTGTTTCGTTATGCGCCTGACACATGATGAGCATGCAGTAAGTGAAAGCGTTTGGATGAAATTTCACTTGTCTCGTCTCTTCCGACCGTAGGTGACAGGAAATTCCACCCAAAGGAGTTTAAATAAAACAGGAATCTTGTTCTGCAACTCGTGAAGCTGAAAGCCCCAGAGTGCATGGGGGGCCTGGTCTCAGTCCTTAGGTCTCAGCCTCGGCCGGGTGGGCCCCCAGGGGAGCAGGCTGATGGCTCCAGCCCCGGAGCCCTAGGCAAGTCTGCAGGGACACAAGCCAGGTCTGAACCCCTCCAGCAGGGGGACACATGGGCTTGGGCTGGAGTCTTTGCTGGTGGCCCTGCGGATGTCTGCAGTCGGGGGCGGGGCGTGACCTCAGGGATCAGGGTCAGGCTTCATTCAGGGAAGCAGACGGACAGCTCAGGCACAATGGTGACAATCTAGAAGGACCCATATGCCCTCCTTCCTTTAAAAAGCAAAGTTGTGATCAGACTCTCACCCAGCACCGCGGGGCCTCGTTTGGGCGCCCGTCCTGTTTCCTGGGCCTGCACCTGAGCTGCTTCCTGTGCGTGGCCCAGCGATTAGAGCTTTGCGTCCGTATCCTGTCTACTCCACCCAACCCTTCACAGCGTTCCATTTTTATTCCCGTTGTGCAGATGAGGAAACAGGCCCCGAGAGGCTGACGTGTTTGCTCAGGGGCACACAGCTGGTGAGTGGCAGCACCCTGCTGTCTCAGGCCTTCGCCTTCCCCCAGCTGCTGGCAGAGAGTGAGGCCGTGCCACCATCGCCAAATGCGCCAGGGGCTGGGGAGAGCTCTCAGAGCTCCTCATGTGGGCCTTGGGGTGAGCAGGAAGTGGGGCCGACGTGCTGACCACCTGCCGAGATGCACCGAACAGCAGGTGTGCACGCTGGCAGCACGCACCCTTTGTGAGGAGTGGTGGTTCATTCAAACTGGGGACAACCGAGAGGTATCCAGGGACTGCTCTTTTATTAAAAACAGTGTCCTGAGGGAGTGAGATGGTGAATTTTATGTGTCACCTTGGCTGGACCATGAGGTGCCCAGTTACTCAGACATTATCCTGGCTGCGTCTGAGGGTGTTTCTGAATGCGATTCCCGTTCAAATTGTTGGACTTTGAGTGAAGCAGATGGCCTGCCGTGTGCGGGTGGCCCCGTCCCATCAGCTGAGGCCTCGATAGAACAAGAGGCTGACCCGCCTGCAGGTTAGAGAGAGCTCCTCCTGCCTGACAGCTTCAAGTCTGGGCTGAGGCAGCCGCCCTTGCTGGGTCTCGGGCCGGCCGCCTCTGGCTGTGTCAGTGTTGGCCAGACGTGAGGTGCTCCCGCCTGCCGTCCCCTCCTCCTCCTGCTCTGTCTCTCCGCCGGGCTCGGGGTGCCGGGCGATTAACCATCATGTGTGTGAAGAATGGCCCGTCCTCCCTGCACGGAGAAGGTGCTCCTCAAGATCCTGGAGGCAGAGGCATTCCAGAACCGCATGCGTGGCCAGCGCTTCCCTTCCCAGCCCCCGGAGAGGCAGCCTCCATCTCTGGGGCAGCTGCCGGGTTTTTCCAGAGCCGCGGGTGTGGAGACAGCACTTCTGTGGGGCCACGAGGTGACTCGAACAGCAGAAAGTGTCCAGGTTTGGGCTTGGAACACCTGGGTCCTGGCCCTGGCCCTCAGAGGGGCCCTAAACCCACCCCCTCTTCCCTTTGACCTCAGTTTACTTTCCTGGAGGATGAGGGCCCAGCAGCCCTCTCTAAGTTGCATCCGGTGTTCGACAGGAAGTTCTTTTATTTAGAAGTTAGAATGATACACAGAGAAACAGACAATAATAAAATGAACACCTGTATTCCTACTGTCAGAACCGGCCGCTGTTGACCGTTTTGGTATTTGTTTCCCGTCTGGCTTTTGGGGGTGAGAAATCACACGTTGCAGGGGAAGCCGCAGCCCCTCCCAGCTCTCACCCCTGCAGCCTCCATTTGGCGTTTGAGTCCTTGGGTAGCTTTCCCTCTGTAATCCCCGGCACACACTACCAAATGTGCTTCTTCACTGGGTGTTCCCGAACTGCACCGCGTCAGGGACACCAGACTCCAGGCCCAAGGAGAGCCAGATGGTTGCAGGATTCTGTGCTTGCTTTGTGCCTCTTAGAGGCACAGCCAAAGCACCCTGGCCTCCGAATGTCCCAGAAGGAGTCAGATAACGGAAAATAAGCCTCTGCTGATAAGGGAAACTCCGCCCTGGACTGTCCTGAACGCGCTGTGGGGGGTTGGAGTGAGCCGTGCAGCTGCAGGTGTGGGCCCTGGAGCCGGCGAGGGGTTGGGGGTGCCCCGGGGGGCTCAGTCCTGGCCGTCTGCCACCTGCCGCCAGCCTTCTCAGCACGGGCGTCTGACTTGAGGTGCTGTGCAGCCCTCCTGGCTCCCCTGTAAGGAGGGGGTCTGGGTCCCGTGACCCTATCAGCACAGGTGAGCAGGCACAGGTACCTGCGGGCTGGTGCTGGAGCGGAGGCTGCGTCCCCCACGGGGAGCCCCGCCTTCTGGCTGGAGCTGGCTGCTGGCCTGAGGGTGGAGCGGGTGCCTCCTTCTCAGGCAGCTGCTTTGGCAGCTCTGTCTTATCTCCAGGCTGCATGAACTGCCCGTGTATCTGCCCTGAGTGTGAAGACGTGTGACTTTCTTAAGAGCCACCGAGAGCCCTCAGCACCTGCCGCCTCCCAAGCCAGGCCCTGGCGGGGAGAAGCCGTGCCCTGGAGTGGGGAACCGGGGGGACTGGGGTACCGCTCGCCCGCCTGGTGCGACCTACAGCTGCTCACCACATGCGACTGTGAGCACCGGGAGTGCCGCTGGGGCCACGTGTCGGAAAGATGATGTTTGGGTTAAATGTATGTGTATTTTCCTTTAATACGGCTTTTAAACATGGACTTGAGAAAAGGCTGTGTTGGCAGAGCACAGAGGTTTTTAGTGCAGGGAAGCTACTCCGTGGGACACTACTGTGGTGGACACGTGCCATCATACAATTGAACCCCTGAATGTGCAGCCCCGAGAGTGAGCCCTCGTGCGCACGATGGCTTCTGGGCGATAGTGATGACTCTCGGTGGGTCCGTCAGCTATGACAGGCGCACCGCTGGTGGGGGGTGTGGATGGTGGGGGCTGTGCGTGGAGGGGAGGGGGGGGTGGGATGGCTCCCTACTTCCCCTCAGTTCTGCTGGGAACCTAAAACTGCTCTAATAAATAAAGCCTGTAACTTAATTTCACCTGTTATGTTTTAAAGAGGCTATTGGGGAATTCTAAATGCGAGTTTCAGTATTTCTATTGGACGTGGTGGCGTGGGGCGGTCCCGGACCTGTCCGAGCCCCGCAGCCTGGGAGGCACCACGTGAGGGTGCAGGGCTCCCGGCCAGGCTCCGAGGGTGTGGGAGGAGGGCTTCAGAGGACTTGGGGCCTCTTGGACTTGAGCTTGGGCATCCTGCCCTTGTCCGTACTGACTTCTTCACTGGGACTCTGCCTCCTATGAACTCGCCGCCCCGAGGGAGCGCCGGGAGAGCTGGTCCTCCCTGTCTTCTCCCTGAGGAGCCTGAGGTTCTGGGCGGGGGGCAGTGGGGCGGGATTTACAGCCCAGACTGGGAGCCCAGATTCCTGCCTCCCAGGGGCCATTGAACACGACACACCACCCTGTTTCTCAAAGGCAGGAGCTGCAATCGATGAACTGTCTTATTTTTTAAAATGGACTTTATTTTTTAGAGCAACTTTGGGTTTATTAAAGAATTGAGCTGAATTTACAGCAATTTCAGCCCCCCCAGCACCCCCCGAACATCCCCACCAGGTGGTGCGTTTGTTACAGTCGATGAACCTCCACGGACACAGTGTTACCACCCAGCATCCATCATTCACGTTACATGGTTCATGGTTGACGTTCATTCTGCGAGTGTAGACAAAGGTGAAGTGACTTGTCAGAGTAGTTTCACCGCCCTAAAAACTCTCTGTGCTGGAGCCGTTTATCCCTCCATCCCCCTGGCATTTAAAAACTTTTTTAAAATTTGGAATAACTTAGATTTCTAGAAAGGTGCAGAGATAATACAGAAAGCTCGTGTCTACCCTTCCGCCAGCTTCCCCTGGAGTGAGCATCCTTCCAGGCCAGGAACACTGGGCAGAGGAGGAAATCAGCGTCGGTGCGGGACCTCGCTAACCTGAGACACCAGTGTACTCACCGGGTTCTTCTCTGTCCCTGGAGCGATGCCGTGTTTGTCTCCTTGGTCTGCTGCGATCTGTGTGCTTTTCCTGTTTTGTTCCCGTTTCCACGTCAGGTGTGTGTGTGCACACGTGCACATGTTGGGGGATGTCTGACGCCCCTTGAAATGATCTTGGAGCAACAGAGCTGCTGCAGGTGATGGCCTGCTGCAAGGCGCGTGTCCCCTCTTCACTGGCTGCGTGTTCCTGTCCCTTTGTTGTCTCCCTGAGTCGCCGAAATGCCCTTTTCTCAGAGGACGTCTCCCTGGGAGGGGCCGCAGTGCACTTCCCTGGGGCTCACGTGTCTTTCCTTCACCGTAGGGGAGGTCTGGTCTCAGAGTAGAGACCTTGGTCTGTCTCTGGGTGCGTGCCCACGGCGTTAGTGTCACCGAGCATCCTTGGTGTGCTCGGAGAGGCTGCTGTGCCTCCCTGGCCCGGGAACGCGCGACCTCGACTTGGATGGAGGTGTCAGTTTGGGTGTGTTTCACACCGTTGGTTTTTTAACACCAGGTTGTTATGGCCAGTTTCCTTCTGAATAACTGAGACACTGATGTGAGTCAAAGCACCGGGAGGGGCGGCCGCAAGGACCCCGTGCGGGGTGGGCATGCACCTTCGCTGCGTCCCTCCCACCGCGAGCTCACTGGGCACAGCACCGCGCTCTGCTCTGTGAGGTGAGAATCCGATGAGAATGTTCGCCTGCTCAGGAGGGTCCGGTAGCTTGTCATCGGCCTCAGTAAAACTGAGTGCCTCACTGTGGCCTCTGGTGCTCCCTGACCTCCACAGCCCCATCTCCTGACCTCTGCCCCCATTTCCTTGAGTCCCAGGCCTCAGATGGCACTGGCCTCCCTGTTCTTGGGGCTGTCGGCTGCTCCCGACCTGAGGCCCCTGCCTGAAACACCAGGTCTTTGGGTAGTGTTCACTGGGGGCCGCCCTCGGAGGAGCTCCGTGAGCAGCGTGTGCCACGACACCAGGGTCCCTGCCCGCCGCGCGCTTCTGTGTGCCCGGCTCCCTCCGCCGTTACCACCATGTGCTAGACGAGGAACCTCCCGTCTGCTGCGTTCTCCAGCCCAGGACTCCGTGGGGAGCCATCTCACGAACTTCGTGGCCCATCTGTGCATTTACCTTCCGCCTTGCCGTGACGCTGGCCCCGAGCGCGCCGGCCGGGGCTCTAGTTCCCACCCCGTCGGGGAGCCCCGCGTTGCGTGGAGCCCGCTGGGGCCGCAGGAGGCGGGTACTCGGCCGGCCGTCCTCTCCAGGGCCGCGGGCAGTGCCCCCGCTGGTAGAGTCACTTCCCTCCCACTCTGCGGACGCGTCTTGTCGGGCGACTGCTGGACCCGGAGGCGTCCCCCAGAGTCCAGGACAATGTTTGAGGCCCCCGGTGGGTCGTGCGGGGAGGTCCACGCGCTCCGGAGGTCGTGCTCCTGTTGGAGGGGCCTCGGCACAGCCTCCCTCCTCCCCTGGGTCTGAAGCCGGGGGAGACGGCCCACTCTGTCCTGAGGGTCGGGGCCGCAGCCCCGACTTCCGGTCCCAGAGAGTGAATCCTCGTCTTCTCGCCGCAGGTCGTCCACCCGGCCGGAGGTGGCCAGCATCGAGCCGCTGGGCCCAGGAGAGCAGCAGTGCTCCCGGAAGGCGGTGGTGCAGGCCCGCCTGTCCCAGCCCGCGCGCCTGACCAGCATCGTCTTCGCAGAGGACATCAGTAAGCGCTTCCGGGGCCCGGGCGGGGACGGGGGACGCCCCACTGAGCCCTGGGGCCACGGGGTGGGGGTGGGGGGTGCCGCAGAGCCCAGGCTGGGCTTTCCTTTGTTGGGTGGGAGGACGCCCACAGGAGGGGGACACCGAGCGAGCCGCACACCCTTGGTGCCTCCTGCCAGCACCTTGTGCTGTTTCCCTCCCGAGGGGCAGTTTTCACGTCTGAGTTACCGTCTGTTCCCCAAGTCCCTCTTAGCAGGCATCGGTTCAGAATGAAGAAAGTTGTGCAGCCTTTCATGTCCCCATATATAGTTGACCGTGTTATTATCATCAAAAGCTAAAAAACCATTTTCTGTCGTGTTTCCCCCCACTTAACATGATAGGCAACACTCCCCGTTTATTATAAAATTGTATTTTTAACGGCTGAACTGTGTTCTTAACGAGAGGCTGTGCTGTAAGCAGTCCCTTCTGTGGGACGTTTACATTGTTGTCAAATGTTTGTTTTGGTGCCACAAAGGGAGATGAATATTTTTATACAGAGAACAATTTGGGGCTCTTTCAGGGTATTTCCTGCCACGAATAGATTCCCAGCTTCACTGGGTTGCAGCATCCGGGTATTTTTAAAGCTTTTGGTCAGGGGCTGAGTCGCTGTCTCACAGAGTTAAGAGCACACAGTTATTTTTTATGGCACCTGGAGATGCTCGGAATGATTTTGTGTCGCGTGCTGTTATGTTTACACCTGAGAATTCTCCAGGTAATGCCACTGACGTATCGTATTGATGAAGCAAATAAAAAAACTCCACGTGTACCTGCACACGCTCGGGATAGTCTGGTGCAAAGACACCAGTGTACACAGGCATGTGCAAACACGCAGACTCCGGGTGTAATTTCCTGATCTCTGTGCGGGGGCTGGCGTTCAGAAGGGCCGCGTCCTTCCAGACGCTAGCGCACCACACCAGAGCCCTCCTCATAGAGCTCAGTGCTTACACCCCTGACAAAACTAGAAATTCTTGGAAGAGGGTTTTGCACGCAGCTTTAATGCTGGTGCTCACGATGGAAAAGTATAGGACGGGTGACTGGTGCCCCAGAAGCCATCTATCTTGGACGCTGAGCTGACCACCAGGCATGGCTCCTGAGGATTGACTGGTTCTTCCAGCCCCGTCTTGTGGGGGTGGCTTTGTTGGTTGCCCCGGTCTTTGCTGAAGCCTGAGGCCACCTGACGTGTGAGGCCCTGGAGGTGGGGTGGCTGTCAGGGCACCGCCCGCTGAGCCTCCTGCCCACCCCTCCAGCCACCGGCCAGGTCCTGCGCTGTGACGCCATTGTGGACCTCATCCACGGCATCCAGATCGTCTCCACCACCCGCGAGCTCTACCTGGAGGACTCGCCACTGGAGCTGAAGATCCAGGCCCTGGACTCTGAAGGTGAGGCTGGCGGCCGGCGGGCCCTGTGTCTGCCACCCCTCGTGGGCGGCCTGCTCACCTCCTGCTCCGGCCGGGACGGCAACACAGGAGAGGGTGGGACCACCTGTGAGGGATGCCAGGCCCCTGGTGGCATCGAGGTCTCACCTGCTTCTCATGTGCTCTGGCCTTGGCTGTAAGACCTGTGCAGGGACCAGCAGGGTTGAGCGTGTCTTTGGGAAGCCGGCGATGGGGGCTGGGAGGGGCTCCAGGGGTCGCTGTGCTGGAAAGCAGAGGCACTTGAGGCTGGGTGTCTGCCTGGTCCAGACCGCGGAGTGGAGGTGGGTGTTGGGGGCTGGGACACGTCTCTGCTGCTGGCCCCACGCACCATCTTTCACTTTTTGTTGTTTGCTCTTAGAAATGTTTATGTTAAAAGAAAGAAACTCTAGCTCCACCCTTCTCTTCTTAATAGAGTATCAGCTCATTCCAGGCTGGGACCCTCCTTGGAAGACTGTCCTGGCTGTAGCCTGACCTCTTGGTAAAGGAGTGAATGGAAGTTTGTAGGTTAAGACTCTTGTTGAAGAAAGTAGGTCAGGCCAAACATGTCTTTCAGATGAAGGATCTTGCAAAACTTCAAGTCCAAGCCGAATCTCACGTTGTCTGAAGCCTTCCCTGACCGCTCTGGCTCCCCCACCCCTGCTTCTTAAAAAGATTTTTCTAGGTTGGGCTTTCTTGGCCCAGGTAGTATTGGCATTTGGGACCAGATCACTCGTCATGGAGGGAGGCTGTCCAGGACGGTGCAGGGTGTTTAGGAGCATCCCTGGCCTCTACTCACGAGATGCCAGTGGCTCCCCAAGTCGTGACAACCAAAAATGCCTCCAGCCGTTGCCCCGTGTCCCTGGGGGCAGAGCCAGCGCCGTGGGGCGTCTGTCAGAGCCCTCCTCCCTCTGTGTGCTTGTTCTTCTGCTCAGCCGCCTGGCTTCTCTGGGGTGCCCTCTGATCTGCGACCCTGAGACAGTGTTGCTTACCCAGTCGTAAGGGCCTGGAGAGGGTGTGTGGAGGGCTCGGCCCCGCCGGGCTTGGGTGCGCGTGGGTGCTCAGCAGGCCAGGTGCTGACGGAGCACGTGCTGCCACCGGGGTTCTACCAAGTCCTGGATTCTGCCAGGTCCTGGGTTCTGCTGGGTCCTGGGGTGCTGCCGTGGGGAGCCCTGGGCCTGTGCCCCCAGAATCTCAGGCCGGGTGGGGGTGCATGTGTAGATCAGGTCCCACATGCATCCCAGCAGGTGCTGTTTGTAATCGTGTTGGGTGCGACGTGTGGCGGGACCACAGGTGGGAGGAGCGACCCCAGGGAGCTTGGAGGCGGGGTGTGGAGGTCAGAGGTCAGGGCAGGTTCCTAGAAGCCGAGGTGTTTGACTGAGCCTCGAGGGGCTTGGGATCTACCAGGTGGGGAACGCTCTCTCATCCTGGACAGGCCCGGGATCCAGGGTGTGAAAGGGCCTCGGGTCAGAGTGGGCTTTGCGCCTGGTCTTAAAGCAGAGAGCGCCGAGGAGGGGTCTGTGCAGTGAGGTGACGGGGGCTCGTGTGCAGGACCTGGGGTCATGGGCTGTTCTCGGGAAAGGAAGACAAAAGTTCGAGGCAACGCTGGCGCCAGGCACTCTCTGAGCCCCTCACACATCCTGACTCGTTTCACGTCCAAGTGAGGGCCTGGGGCACAGAGGGAACACACACATACACACACGGGCACACGTGTGTACACATGTGTACACACGGATACACACATACACGCCGATACACGTTAGCAAAGCAGCTGATATTTGTAATTATTTTCTGTTCCGTACCTCTCTGCCACATGTATTTATCTTCCAAATTCATTCCTTTAAAGAAAAAATTAATCCTTTGAAGAAGTTAAACCTCCCTCCATGTGCACACAGGTACACACAGATACACACACACACAGTCACACACACGGGGCACCTTTCTCTCTCCGCCAGCAAGCTTAGCACTCAGACAGAGTTGGAATCACTTCTTTCCTTTTTGGGCGCTGGACTTTGGGCCTGGCGTTCAGTATGTTGAATTGCTCAATGTTTTTCTGTTGCTCTCCTGGGACAGGACGCGGGGGGCACCCTCGGGGGACTGGACTTTCCTCGTTCACATGAACGCTTGGCACGCAGCAGGTCCAGTAGCTGCTTTGGGAATGGACAAGGCAACCCTCAGGCGGAGGATGGCTGGCCCGCCCCTGCCCCTCGCCCAGGCCTGCAGCCCCGCCAGACGGGCAGGTCTTGGAGCCTGCTGTGTTTGTAATCATGTGCCTCACACACCAGCCACTCTGGGAAGTCACTGTAAGGAGCTCTACCGGCTCCTGTGGTTTTATTTCGTCACCAGAAGACAGGGCCAGCCTCACGCCGGGCCCTGGGCCGGCTCTAATGCTCCACTGCTGCGTCTTGAAGTTTAATAGGTTCACCTTGGGACTTGCGTTTGGTGAGCAGGCCTGATGGGCCCGTGGAGCAGGCCCTGGGCCTCGGAGCCGCAGTGATCTGAGGTCCCGCTTCCCTGCCACCCCTCTGCCTCCTAGGAGGGTCCTCGGCCACTTGCGCCCGACCCCTTGTGTCCCGGGCCCAGCCTGGTCTCTCCTCCCTATCCTTGCCCCGTGACCATGGCCACTTTCCGTCCCCCGTGGTGGTCTGGCTGGGTGCACGCGCTCCAGGGTATGTTGGGGCGGAGTGTGGTGGAGGGCTGGCCACATAGGGAATGTCTGCATTTTGGCCAGAGTGAGCCTCTCCCCACCCTCATCTAGCTTCTAGCACGTCCTGTGTGTGGTCTCCGAGAGGCTCGCGTGCGGGTCAGCGGGGAGACAGGAGAGGGGCCTGACCTCGGGTTCCGCAGAGCCCGCTCCAGCTGGGCTGCAGTGTGTCCGTCAGCGGCTGGCAGGAGGGGACCCTGGCTTCTGCACTGAATTTCTGGTCGTTTCCCAATCAGCAGCTGTGAAGGTGTTTATGGAGTGTTTAGACCTACCCTCAGTCCTGTTCCTGCAAGAATCATGGCCCAGTTACCTGCTGGGCCCCGGTGGTTCTGACATCTGGTCCCAGGACCTCGGAGCTGAGGCCGGTGGTGCGAGGTCCCACCCCTCTACCCTGGGACCAGGCTCTCTGTGTCTCGGGGAGGAGACGAGCTAGGCACGTGAAGCCAGACAGTGGGGTTCTGCACCTCATCCCTCAGTTTCTTTCCCAGCACAGGGGCGTGGGGGCGGGATGAATGGCTCGGTCTTGGGAGCCACCGCATAAACTGTGGAGTCCGTGCCGACTGGGGGTGACGTACGCGCGGTTAGGAGGTGTGGTGGGAAGGACATGGTATTCACCTGGGGCAGGCCTGGGCTCTGGGCACCCAGCCCCTCATGGTCAGGTGACCTGTCACGGTCAGGTGACGCATGGCAGTCAGGGGACCCAGACCCTCTAGGCCTCATTCCTCCCCTGCTCAGAGGGAGGTGAGCCCCTGCAGGCTGCATGTGTTACCGCCCCTTCCTCTGGTCCCGGGGAGTTAACTCGGGTGCCTCCCCTATCTGCTCCTCCAGGAAACACGTTCAGCACCCTGGCCGGGCTGGTGTTTGACTGGACAATCGTGAAGGACCCAGAGGCTGACGGGTACTCGGACTCGCACAACGCGCTGCGGTAAGAGGTGCCTGCCTTTGCTGGCAGTGGGGAGGGCTGTCGCCTGGCGCGTGTGGGCTGCGGGCTTCCATCATCATCATGACGTCCCCGTGACGATTCCCGGGTCCCGGCCAACATCCCCGAGACCGATTAGGGAAAAGCGTCCGGCTTACACAGCCGTGCAGGCCCCTCGCCCCTGCTGCCGCCCGCCCGGGCTGTGTGCCGCGGAGAATGGTTGAGGAGGCCGAAGAGGAGACTTGTCTAGGTACCGGGAGCTGGTGGGGGTGCAGGCGAAGGGCCATGTGGCCCCAGCATGCGGGTGACCCAGGGAACACAGCTCTGGCTGAGAGGACCTTCCAGCAGGGACACCCCTCCCGGCGCAGGAGCCCGTCTTCCCCGGCCTGGGGGCACAGATGGACTCCTTGTGAGGTGGACTCATTACCTGTCTTGACCCTGCCAATCCTCCCAGCAGCCGTGTGGGCTTCCGTACCGCGCCCACCTGCCTCGGGTCAGTAAGGCGCGGAGCTAGGTCTGCAGGCGTCCTCCCTGTGCCAATAATCGGTGACCGCCGCCAGCCCCTCCTGGCTGTTCAGCGTCAGCACGGGAGAATGAGAGGTTCAAATCCCTGATGCACGGCCTGTGGCCAGGGTTACCACATGCCAGGCAGCGCAGACGTGTGCCTCCGTCAGCAGAAGGCTCTGCTGGCCAGTGCGGGGCAGACCCGAGGGCTAGGCTTACATCCCCTGCCAGGCCGCGTTGCCTCGCGCCGCACCAAGTGAACACTTTGAAGAGCATGCTCCCTGTGTGGGGGGGAAAACATGAGGTTTAAAATTTGCAGCACTTTTCAGCCCACAGAGCAGTTGCGAGAGCAGTGCAAAAAGTGGATCCCCGAACCGTCGGCGAGCAGGCGGCCCGCCCACTGCCCGTGAGCCCGGCTGTCTTGGTGTGTGCCGACTGCCTCAGAGGGCGCTTCCTACGTAGCCACCATGCAGTCTTTAGGGTCAGGGGATTAACAATGAGGCCTGTCGTCCTCGGGGCTCGTTGCAGTTTGCCATTTTGTCCCAATTGTGTTGTTTGTAGCAAAACACCCAGCCCAGCGTCCCCTGCTGCGCGTTGCCCTGTCTCTCGGGCTCTGTCAGCCTGGAACAGGCGCCTGGTCCTTCTCTGACCTGTGGGACTGGACACTCGCGAGGGCTGTAGTCCACTTATCTTACGGAACCTCCCCCAGCGCGGTTCCTCTGGCGCTCCTCCCGCCAGGCCCAGCGCCGCGTCCTTGCGGGAATACCGCAGAGGGACCGCCTGCTTTCTCGTTCCATCGTGTCACGCTGCTGCTGGTCCCTGCTGGTGCTGTTCACTCATCACTGGGTGGGGTGGTGGCTGCCAGGTGTCCCCCGTGAAGTCGCTTTCTTACCCCCTTGCAATTGATAAGTAGTTGCACTTCTGAGAGTCCAGCCCGGGGCTCCAGGAGACGTCCGGGCTCAGCTCACAGCCATTTCCACCCTCATGCCCCGGGGCTGTGCGAGCCAGCTTGCCCTCCTGGGTCCAAGCCCTCCTGGGGGCTGGACTGTCAGCCTGTCTCCTGGATGAGTGCGGGGGTTTCTGGTGTCTCACTGAGCAGGGACTGCCGGCTTTAGGTCAAAGAGGCCTGGATTCCGGCCCTGGCCTGGTAATGTCCCTGCGTCAGGGACGGTCACCCGCTGAGCAGAGGGCGGAGGCGTTGTGCCTACCTGAGGGTGACGGGGTGGCCGGCATGTTGGCCAGGTGAGAGCCCTGCTCTGGGCCCGGCACACACTAGACGCTCAGGGGATGCTGGCTGCCCGCCCCCTGCCCTGCTGCCCACGCCGCCAGGCCTGTTTCCCGCCACGACAGCCCCCTGAGCCTCCAAGCACTCAGTACACGAGCTGAATGCTGACTGGAATCCAAGACGCGTTGGAACCAGAGTCCTGGATTTTCATTAACTTCAGCGTCTGACCCTCTGGGAAGCTGGGTGAGGAAATAAATCACCACGAAGCACAGCGCCCGGCAGGTCCTGGAGAGAATGAAAGCGCGTCTGATGGATTGCTCTCGCTGGGCAGAAGGGGACTTACGCGTAAATCGCCGGCTGCCGGGGAGAGCCTGCGTCCAGAGCCCCTCAGGCCGGCCCTGCTTACCAGCTCGCGCTCCGGGAGGCCCACCCCACCTGACCTGGGCTCCCCTACCCCAGCCGAGCCCCAGGGAGGTGGGGTGTGACGTGACCCCCTCTTCCTGACACTGGAGAGGGAAGGCGTTGAGTAGCTTCCCAGACAACGGAGCTGGCCGAGGGGCGGGGCTGGGACCGGCGGGGAGTCCGGGAGGCCGTGGGCTTGCTTCCCGGCTTCCGTGACCCCCCCCACACCTGTGAGGCTGAAGCCTCTTGATTGAGTGGGTGGTCCTCCTGTTTCAGTGCCTGCATTTCATCATGATCGCAGTTGGATTTTTACAAAATGCAGATCCCCAGGCTTCGTGCAGACCGAGGGCGGCCTGGCACTGAGAGTCTGCACGTCTCGCAGGGACGCTGGCAGCTCTGATGCCAGGAGCTGCAGGAACACGTTTCGAAGCGGCTCTGACTAGGGCCGCGAGGGGGTGAGAGTGCAGGTTCCTGGGCTCCGCACAGCGGGCTGACCGCATGCTCCCTTTCCAGCATCCTGACTTTCCTGGAGTCTACCTACATACCCCCCTCCTACATCTCAGAGATGGAGAAGGCGGCCAAGCAGGGGGACACCATCCTGGTGTCCGGGATGAAGACCGGGAGCTCCAAGCTGAAGGCGCGGATCCAGGAGGCCGTGTACAAGGTGGGTGGGGGGCGGGGGCCACCCTGGGCTCTGGGGGTGGGATCTGCGCGGACCCTGGGCTTCTGCCAGGGCAGCGAGATGCCCCACCACGGGCGTTTCCCTGTTCGTGCAGTGGCAGCTTCGGGCGGTGATGTGTACCTCTGTCCGTCTGTCTGGTGAGAGCCACGGCCCAGGGAGAGGTGGCCGGGTGCCAGGGTGCCGTCTCGCAGGCGCAGGTGCCTTCCCCGCCCGCAGTGTCCGGGGAGCCGGGAGCAGTGGGACCGGTGTCGACTATCTTGTTTCCAGCGCTCGCCCCGGGCCTGGTGTGGGGACACATCTGAGCCTTTGGGCTCCCGGAGGCCTGGCCGTCTCACCCGGGCCCCAGTTTGAGTCCTGACACTGATTGCTGGGTGGCCCCATATGTGGAGGGCTCCAGTCACCCCCAGGCTTCACCGCAGCTGCTTCTCCATCAATGCCCCATTTTGCAGGGAGGGTGAGTCGGGTGGCAGGAGAGGACAGTGAGGAGTGAGGTAGCCAAGGCCCGGTTCCTGCCTGGTTTTTGTGAGCGCAGGTCTACCCTGGCCCGGCCTCCCTTGGAGCTGCAGACCCGGGTCTTCTTCCCGTTTGCCTGGTTCCTGGAGCCCTGGGGGCAGGCGGGGGTGGGGAGGTGGGAGTTTGCGGCACAGCGTCTGCTGATTACTTTCCAGAGTGATGGACAGGTGGAGTCCTCTGCAGAGCCACCCTCTTCAGTGGTCTGGCCGCAGTCTGGGGGTCCTGGAGGGTCGGCCTGGGGCAGCCGTCTCGGGGGGGGGGGGTCCCGCCGCGTGGCTGGGATCACAGAGAGTTTGTCTCTGTGGGTTCTGGGCCCGTCCGGCCCCTCTGAGCTGCAGGGGCGCCTTGTCCTGCCTGTGCGGCGGGGAGGCTCCCTGGCCCAGGGTGGTGCCCTGTGTGGTGGTTGTTCCCTTTCTAACACGTCAAGGATACTGTTTGACTGACTGGATTCTTTGTGTTGGGGTATGACTGACGCCCAGCATGGCACCAGTTCCAGGCCTGCAGCGTCACGTTTCAGTGTGTGTAAATCCTGTGAAAAGGTCACAACACGTCTGGTTAACAGTCATCACTCCACGCAGTTACGATTTTTTTTTCTTGTGATGAGAAGGTTTAAGATTTATTCCCTTAGCAGCTTTCAAATATGCACCAGTGTTGTTCACCGCAGTCACCAGGCTGTGCCTTGCGCCCCCAGGGCTTACCTACCCTGTAACTGGAAATTTGCAGCTTTTGGCCCTCCCCACCCATTTTGGGCCACCACTCATCTGTTCTGTGTCTGTGAGCTCGGGTTCTTTGGTTTGGTTTTGCCTTTTTGATTCCAGGCGTAGGTGAGATTATATGGTGTTTGCCTTCCGGTGTCTCAAAGGGGAGGACCTCAGTCAGCACGCAGACCCAGGCTGGTTAGAGGTCAGACCCTCAGACAGCAGCTTTTAAAGGAGGCACGTGTGCCCAGTCCTGCAGGAGCCAGGAGACCTGGAGGTGTCCCGTGGGCGGCAGTCCCCAGACTAGGCCTCCAGACAGGTGTCCAGGCTCCTTTCTGGGAGATGCCAGTGAGCTGGAGCGAGGCAGCGGGAGGCTGCCGGGGCAGCACCCTGGGCCTCCGTCCCCTGAGAGCCCCTCTGCGGCCCCACCTGTGGACAGCCCTGAAGTGTGCCCCCCGGGCCAAAGCCTCTCTCTAGCAGGGGGGCCTCTTGCACCTCGGTCTGCTGTGTGTCAGTCTGCTGTGCGTGCAGCGCATGGGGGCGGTGGCCTGCCAAGCCCTGCCTCTGACTGTTACAGGCACATTACAGCAAAACAAGCCCCAGGCCACCAGGGGGCCTCCCGGGGCAGCCGCTGCAGGGCTGCGGGCACCAGGTGTACACCCCGGTCCTAGACACGAGTGAGAACCCCGCTCTGGGAGATGCCGTGCTCTGGGGCGCGGGGAGGAGTGCTGCCCCCGGGTCTGGGAGGGTGTAGGTCAGCCCTGGACGTGTGTTTCACGGGGGCCACCCCTCTGGTGCAGCCGTGATAATTCGCTAACGGCTCCTTTCCAGAGCAGTGGAGCTTGGGTCTGCGCCCGGGGCCGGGAGCTGGCTAAGAATTCTGTCCTCGTCGGTGCTGGTCCCGCAGGGCCCGTGAGCCTAGGCCCTGCTGGGCACCAGAGCGAGGCATGTAGACGTGTCTCTGGCGGCAGCTGCCAAAGTCAGGGCACCAAGAGGGTCACACGCGCCTCTGTGAGAGGCAGGTGAGCCTGGGTGGTCAGAGGGGGGGTGACAGTTGCACTCACCCACCCAGGAACCTGAGAGCCCCTGCACACCTGCCACTCTTCGCAGGCAGGCAGGCCTCTTCCTCAGAAAGGCTAGGCGTGTGTCGGTCTGCTGTGCGTGCAGTGCCTGGAGGGGAAGGGGGTTCCTGCTGGGAACTGTCTCTCCAGTTACAGGCGCACAAGCCCCCCGCCCCGAGGGTCCCCAGTGCAAGGTGATGAGGGGTGTTTCCTGGGTGGACAGCTGCAAAGACCAGCTGGAGATGTTAGGGTGGGAGCAGCTGGCGTGTGTGAAGCTCTGGAGCGCGGCGGAGGGAGGGCGGGAAGGGGTCCCCTGGCTGGAGCAAGTCCGCGGGGAGATGAGACTCTTTCACGTGCCGTCTGGGCACTTTTCAAGGGCTGCGTCTGTGCTGTGCCCGTCAGAGCCCGCCCTCAGTCCCCACAGCCCCACGGCCCTGGTGGGTGCGCGCCCTGGTGGTCTTCACAGCCAGAGGCTCTGGGGGCTGGTCTCCCAGGGCCTGGTCGGGGTGCCTGGTGTGGGGTGTGAGCCTTTCGCTCCCCGGGGAGCAGCTCCGGGTTGGGGGTCCCTGTGACTGTGGTCTCCACACGGGGTGAGACTGGGTCTCGGTGTCCTGCTCACCTCACGGTGGTTTCTCTCTTGTTTGTCGGGTGTAGAAGGGTCCCCCACCAGTTTTTAGGGTTTTTTGGAGGAAATTGTCCCACACGTAGCTTTAGCTGCCGTGTGTCTGTGGGAAGAGGTGGGCCCGGCGCCCTCCTACGTCCCCATCGGGGACGGGAACCTTTGCGTGCTGTAAGGTTAGGAAACCCATAAGATGTTAGAGCCGGTGTGAAAGGAAATCCAACGAATTCACGCACAAATGCAGAACGGGCCAGCGTCCCCGGGACAGCAAGCGGCGGCACCTCCGCCAGAGGACGGGTGCTTGCGTGTCTGTGGACGAGAACCCTTTGCTCTGCCCGCAGCTCTCTGCAGCTTGCAGGGTCGCCACGCACTCCAGGGCAGTGGGAGGTGCAGCCCCGTGCAGCCTGGCTTCCTGGGGGCGCGCTGGACTTGATATACGGGGTCTGCCTCTGGTGCAGCGTCTCGTGATGCTTCCGGCTGAGGTGGTCGGAGGCCGAGAGGTGGGGGCTGGGAGGGGCCCGGGGCAGGGGCCGAGCGCTCGGCGGGGACGCACGCCCCTCCCCCCTTTTGGGTTTGCCTGCGGTCCCCCCACTTTGCTGCCTTTGGGGTTTTGTGGGTGGAGCCCCACAGCCCCTCGCGGCCCCTGTGTCAGTCGGGATTGCTCCTGGCTCCTTACGTGTCTTTCTGCCTCCTTTAGTTGTAAACTGAGCTACAAGCTCCATGATACACAGTGATGTGCTGGGTCTGCTTTGGCAACGACCTCTGGGCTCTCGCCGGCTATACCCCAAGGGTCCCCTGGGGTTTGGGGGTCCAAGGACGTTGCCTTGTTTTTTTGTCTCTGACTTCCCTGTGCTCATGTGAATGGACCAGAAAGCCCTCAGGATTCTTTCTCTGGCCTCCACCGACCCCCACTGCCGACTCACCTCACCTTTTCCACCCTCTTCCTTGTGCTAAGAACGTACGCGCCGCAGAGGTCAGGCTGCTGATTTTGGAGAACATCCTTCTGAACCCAGCTTACGACGTCTACCTCCTGGTGGGGACATCCATCCGCTACAGGGTGCAGAAGATCAGGCAAGGGAAGATCACAGGTGGGTCCTGGCTCAGCTCTGTGCTCAGGGCAGAGGCCCCCCTTTCCATTATGGTGAGATAGGCGCAACGTAAAATCTACCATTTTACCTGTTTCTAAGTGTTAGTTTTAGTGACGTTGATTACATTTACATTTGTGCAGCCATCGCCACCATCCCTGTCCAGAACACTCTCATCTTCCCAGACTGAAACCCTGTGCCCAGGAAGCACGAGCTCCCCGGCCCGGCCCCCAACACCTACTTTCCGCTGCTGTGACTCTGACTCCTCTCAGGACCTTGTGGGTCGCACAGTGTCTGTCCTTTTGTGTCTGGCTCATTTCACGAGCAGAATGTCCTCGAGCTTCCCCCGTGTTGTCGCATGGTTCAGAATGTCCCTCCTTTTCGCGGCTGAGTAACATTCCGTTGTCGGCAGAGACCACGTCTTGTCTGTTCGTCTGTCGGTGGACGCTTGGGTGTCTGCCTCTTGGCTGTTGTACACGGTGCAGCGGTGAGCTTGGATGTGCGCACGTCTCTCCCAGACCTTGGTTTCAAACCTTTTGGGTTTATATCTCTTTGTTTTAAGAATGTCAGAAGCCGTGAGCTTCATGTTGGACTGGGTTTTGCCGCTGGTCTGCCCCTGACCGCTGGGCAGCCTTGGCAAGACACTGCCCACCTCCGCTCTGGGGCTCAGTGTCTGTCGGAGCCTTCCTGCCTGCGCCCAGGGCGATGAGTCGGTGGGGGTGGACTTGCTCTGCAAACTCGCGAGCGCACCATACTGGTGTTCTTTCTAAAGCACTGTGGGTGTGATGTATTTCCGATGGTGAGTGTTGCTAATGCAGCCCCAGCCCTCCTAAGAATTACTGTCATTATCATCGTTCTGTTTAGTTTACACACGTTTCAGGGTCGGAGCTCAGGGCGTCAGGGGCCTCAGGACGCTGGGAAGAGAAGGTCGCACTAAGGCCCGAGGGCTTGGACGGCGTCGGGCAGGCGCCTCCCCAGGTGGGGGCTGCTCTGCCTGTGGCGCGGGTACCGGTTAGGACGTGGGTGGGCGCTTCAGCGTCCTAGCATCTTGGGCTTGCTCCATAGATGGGTCTGGAAGTCTGGAGGCAGCGGGTCTGGCCGGTCATTACCGTGTGGCAGGGGCCACAGCCCTGGGGAGGCCACGGAGCCACGGACAGGCCCCTCCTGACTCGGGGCCCAGTTCTCTCCCGCACCAGTGCCCCGCTGAAGGGCAGCAGATGGGGTTTCCCGGGTGTCCCCGTGTGCTGGGCAGGGACAGCACACAGGTGGGATGTGTACGAAGCCAGGCTGGGGTCCTGGCCAGAGCCTGCGTGTACCCCCGACTTCAGGGAAGCAGGTTCTAAAAGCACAGGGGTGGACCCAAGCGTGGCTTCTGGAGACTCTTAGAGGGCAGGCGGCTCGGAGGTGGACTTCTCAGGACACTGACCCAGCGTCCTCAGGAGGAACGCAGCGGGGAAAAGCTGGAGGGCCAGAGGGCGCCAGGTGGGGCCCTTTGGAAATGCAGTGTCACACCTGAGCGCTGTCACGGAGGGCCTCCCACCTGGTGGGGGCAGTGTGGAGACGCCTGGCCGGGACGGGCGTTTTCCGAGTGTCGGACTTCTCACGTAACCCAGCAACATCCTGTTTTACAGATAAGGAAACCGAGTCATAGAACGCCTGACAGTCACAAAACTGTCGGGTCCTTGGCCTTCATCACTCCTGCAGGATCGAGTGTCCCTGACACTGCAGGAAGGAAGAGCAGCTTTCCCTTCTCCTGGGAACAGGGCAGGTGGTCCCTTTGCGGGAACCAGGGGAGCGGGTGGGGGGGCTGAGGCAGGGCGGTGTGCCCAGACCAGGGAGTTTGGGGGGATTTAATGGAGAGGGCTTAAGAGCCCACCCCAAATCAGTTCGGTCTCATGGCCCAGAGGAACAGCGCATCCCAAGGGACCCGGAGAGCTTTCGGGTTTGGTCACTGCCCTACGGCAGACGTCAAAGAATTGGAGCTCATGAAATATCCCCCCCAGACAGGAGACGGTTAAACTGCCTCCGTTGCATCTGTGGGGTAATGAGATGGAAAATTCCAAAAATAAACACTCCTGTGTGATTGACGGTGCCGGATGCCATGGGGGCTGGAGTGGATTCCAGACGGATGCTTTGTGAGAACCAGAGAGGGGAGGCAGCAAGGGTCCACCCGCCGCGAACAGGACACTCGGGTGGAAACTCGCTGTCCGTGTTTTTAGATGGATTGCTGTGTTTTTTTCTAATTGAAATATAAGTCACGTCACTGTCATTTTTAACAGGCTGCTAGATAGGAAAGTCAGGGGAATGGTGTCGGTACAGGAGAAATGAATTGCAGCGAGCCCGCCTTGCACGGCATCCTGCCCGAGGCTCGAGAGTCACGGGTCAGAGGGCAGTTACCCCAAGTTAGTTCTTCATGTTTTCTGTCAGCCTTTCTTCCTTAAACATGTAATTTTTCTTCTTTGCTTTGCTATTTTCTTCCCCCGTGTGTGTATGTTCTTTTTTTTTTTAATTGAAGTATAGTCAGTTTACAATGTTGTGTTAGTTTCACACAACATGGTGTACAGCATAGCGATTCAGTTGTGTGTGTGTGTGTGTGTGTGTGTGTATTCCTTTTCATATTCTTTTTCATTACAGGCTGTTACAAGATTGTATATAGTTCCTGCTGCTATACAAGAGGACCTTGTTGTTTATTTTGTATATAGTAGTTAATATCTACAAATCTCGAACTCCCAGTTTATCCCTCCACCCCCAACTTTACCCCCTGGTAACCACAAGTTTTGTTTTCTATGTCTGTGAGTCTGTTTTGTAAATAAGTTCATTTGTGTCATTTTTTTAGATTCCACATATGAGTGGAATCTTTCTCTGTCTTACTTCACTTAGTATGACGATCTCCGGGTCCATCAATGTTGCTGCAAATGGCATTACTTTATTCTTTTTCGTGGCTGAGTAGTATTCCACTGTATAAATGTACCACAGCTTCTTCACTCAGTCGCCTATGGATGGACACTTTGGGCACTTCCATGTCTCGGCTGCTGTTGATAGCGGTGCTCCTCCCACATTGTCATTCCCGACGTCTGCCTTCCTTCCTCTAAGGGGCGGCTTCTTTCTCGCAAGCCCATTTGTGGGGCGCCTGCTCTGTGCCCTCACTGCTGGGGGCCTCAGTGTCAGAGGGCTGCTTGGGTCCCTGGCACTCGGAGCCCAGTGGGGGAGGAAAACAGTCGGTCCAGCGAGGCTCCAGCAGACGCCCTGCGAGCGGAGCAGGTGGCGGAGGAGAGCAGCTTGGCTGGAGGCGGGGTGTGTGTGATGCTGGCGGGGCCATGTTCCCACGGGCACAAGCCTCCCTCAGTCCTCAGTCTGCTGATGCTGGGGTTGTAGACCTGACTGGCTCAGTAACCAAGTTATTAGACAGAACAAGATGTGGGAAAGACATGCTGGTCGAGGGAATCGGTGTCTGAAAAGAACTTGAGATTTGGGAAAGGTGGAAATTCCTGGGGTAAATTGTACTGAGGTTTGGAAAACCAGCTGTTTAGATGGGTGTCGGGCTGGGATTCCTGGGTCAAAGACTCAGGTGTGGAAGAACCTGGGACCCAGCGCAGCCTTGAGCCGTGGCTGCCTGGACCTGGGGCCTGCTGGGGCCGGCATGGGCTGGGGCTGGGGGTTCTGGCCGTCAGAAGCACATCTGGAGGTCAGCCGGGGTTCGGAGGCTCGGAGATCGAGTATGTTGAAGAATGCGGCCTCCTGGCCTGTGGAAGCACCAGGGGGTGCCCTGTGCCCTCTGCAGGCTGGTGGGGCCCCGGGAGCAGCCTGCCTCTGTTTGTGGGAGACGGTGCCTTAACACCTGCGAAGCCTTCCGCACCCAGCGCCTCTTACAAGGGGTGAGCTCCGCCTGTCTGCCGTTCAGACGCCAGCGCAGAGAGAGGCTCGTGGTGCCGGGAAGGAAAGTGCTTCGTCCTGGGGGCTGGTGTGGCGGGGGGGGAGGGCAGACTCCTGTCCAAAGGCCAACTCCTCCCCCTCCATTGACAATCAAGGGGCAAGAACTTTTACAGGGAAGCTCAGGGGGACACAGGCAGAGGGAGGGTCCTCGCGCAGGGCAGCACAGTCCGCTCCCACAGTCGTCCTGGCAGTCAGCCACGCGGGGCTCTGATCAGCGTCACGGTGATGGTTTTGAGTAGAGAAAACCTTCAGTTCCAGGGTCGGTTTGTTCCCGTTTCTTCGGCCAGTTCTGGGAGCTGTGGCAGCTTCTGTCCTGGCTGCAGCCTGGTCAGCGTGCGGTTGACTTCTTCCAGCCGGTGGGGTTTTGGTATCTGCAGACCAGCTCAAAGTCAGGGCTCAGAATACTATCTGCAGCCCTTGAGGAGGAACTCAAGGCCCTTGCCCTTTATTTTTCTTTTTAGTGGAGGCACTGGGGATTGAACCCAGGACCTCGGCGTGCCAAGCACGCACGCTGCCACTCCCCTCTCTCCTTGACTTTGTTTAATGACTACACTGTTACTATTTTGTCTTGCTTGACTGTTTCCCTTTGTTTCTGTGTTTTCTTGTTTCTCTGATTAAACCTGCTCTTTGACCGAAGTTCTTTTCCAGATGAGAGGCAGGTGGAGGATGTGCTGGGAGGAGGGCTCCGTCCTGGGAAGGCCCCCCCCCAGGACCCTGCTCTGTTTCAGGAGGGTTTACAGAGCCTGGGAGACAAGCCCGTACGCTCATCGTCTCCGGGCTCTGCGAATGTGCTTACATCTACATTGTGAGAGGTCCTTTCAAGGGTCAGTGTATTTATTTCCCAAAAGGACCATTAAACAAGGGAGGAACCTCGTGCTTTGTAAAGCAGCGCCAAGGAATGCTGCTTTGTCGAGCGGTGGCGTTGTCTTGTTGCTTTTGTCACGACCTGTGTCCTCCATGCGCTGCTGCCGTCTTCTGGTCTCTGGGTGCTTGGTCTGAAGGAATCTCAGCCCCGCCTGCCTGCTTCCCTGCTAGAGGCAAGGAGGTGGGCCGGGGCACTGAAGGCTTCTCAGCGCTGGTGTGGTCAGAGCCCCTGGGGGCCCGTGCAGACACGCGGTGCGGGGCGCCCCCAGAGCTTGGCTCAGCACATCTGGGATGGGGCCGGTTATTTGCAGTTTCCCAAGTGATGCTGATGGCCCAGGGACCACCCTTTGAGCACCCTCTGCCCCAGGGAGAATTCTAGGGGACTTATGGGAACACATAGCAGATACCCCACGACGGGAAATAGACACGTCGCCTCCCTTTCCAAATCCTGGGAGCTCTGAGGGCTGCTCCAGCTGAGACTCCTCCAGGATCCTTGTCCTGGGCGCCTCCCATGGCAGGGACCCAGTGGTGAGCAGAGAAGCTGTCCTGTCCGTGGTCCCTGAATCCTGTCCCTCTCTGGTGACAGAGGGCTGGATCGTGGCTACGCCCACAGGCACAGTAAGTGGGTTATTGGATAGAAAATCCCACGGACTGGGGTGCCGGCGTGTCAGAGCCTCCCTGCTCTCTTGTCTGAGTCCCAGCTCTGCGATGATCTTGCTCTGGCCTTGATTCCAACGGTCCCCCCATCTCCAGGACGGGGGCATCGGTAGCTCCTGTCTCGAGGACTGTGGGGGATAAAAGGGTGATGTGCCCATGAATCACGTGGCGCAGTCCTGCCACGGCCCTGTCTTGATTGCTCCGTCAGTAGCCGTTCAGGTTAGAAGTGCTGACAGGCTTGACCGCACAGGACGCAGAAGGTGGATGCAGAGGCAGCGGGTTGCAGAAGTCGTTCTTGCCCAGCGACGTGGTTTCCTGTCCTGGCCCGGGCCGGGCAAGTTCTCCTCCACAGTGCGACAGGGCGGGGAAACAAGAGGGGTGGTCAAGATAGCAACAGGCAATTCTGCAAATTATGGGCCCAGCTCCCAAAACCCCGTGGGACACGAAGGAAAGCTCCTTTTGGGGGGCCCTAGAGGATGCACAGGTCCAGGGAGCCCCATCTGCACCCCTCAGTGCAGAAGCCGAGCTCACTTGCTTCCTTGATGAACAGAAAAAGATGTCATGTTGGTTGCAAGCAGCTGGCAGGTTGAGTCAGAGGCTGTGCTTAATTAAAAAAAAATGCTGCTCACGGCATCCACAAAAGAAGGATTGCCTCCAAAAATTCATGGAGAATGCCAGCTCTGTCCACACACATGGAGAATAATATTAACATTTAAAGTGTTGAAAAATAAGCAAAAAAAACCCACCAAAAAAACCCAAGCAGCCGCCCTGACAGCAGGGTCAGGGACTGGTTGGGAGGAAGGTGACATCCTGGCGTTTAACATCTCCCACCCCACTCTCTCCCCGCCCTGATCTTCCCCGCTTCTGGGCGCAGAGCTCTCCATGCCTTCCGACCAGTACGAGCTGCAGCTACAGAGCAGCATCTGGGGCCCCGAGGGAGACCCGGGCCGGCCCGTGGCGGTCTTGGCCCCGGACACGTCGACGGTCACCGCGGTCCAGCTGGGACAGAGCAGCCTGGTCCTTGGCCACAGGAATATCCTTTACTCCGGCCGGCACGCTTGCAGATGCGTGTCCTGCACAGGAGATCTGCTGTTTGGAAGCCAAGTCACTTTTCTCCCGGAGAGCTCGGCTGGGCTAAAAACAGCCCTGTTTTCCCTCAAGGTCTGAAAATCAGAGAGAACAAAAATAGCCCCACGGCTGAGCGGAGCCGCTCACCTCTGCAGGTGGCTCACCGGAGAGGCTCTGAGGTGCGAGCTGGTGGCAGAGCAGAGCCCCACTCCTCACTTCCAGGACCCACTGTGGTCTCGTCCCAGGGCCTGGCCAAGCCTGATGCCCCACTCCCCGCCTCCAGGATCCCCTCTGGTCTCGTCCCAGGCCCGGCTAAGCCTGTGCCCCACTCCCCATCTCCAGGACCTCCTCTGGTCTTGTCCCAGGGCCCAGCCGAGCCTGTGCCCCACTCCCCGCCTCCAGGATCCCCTCTGGTCTCGTCCCAGGGCCTGGCTAAGCCTGTGCCCCACTCC